CCACCATACAACTGACACTAATGAGGCATGTGTATATTCAAATCTAGTCCTAGTGAAAGTTGATGTTAATGTCTCGCTGCTAAACTCATTTTAAAGCTTTACGATTTCTCCGATCCTGATTGGAATGATCCGATTTATCTCCCTTTTCTCCAGTGGCCCTCAACTTCCAGACACCCTGCGCAGAGATGGATATGAATCAGGGGCTCTTTCTCCAAAATGGACAGAGTGGTTACAACCTCAAGCCTTCTTTCCTACGAGACCAAGACACTAAATTTGACCCCATCACTCTCCCCGAGGGACCGTGGTTAAAGAATAAGAGTCTTCATCTGATGGTAATGGATCTGCACCTTTATTTTAGCACATGGACTGTATCTTTGTGTTATGTCAGTTGCATGTATTTATTTTTTTAAATTAGACTTTTCCAGTTACAATGCTACATGTGTTAAATGTGCACTGCTGTTTCTGTTTGTCTAATAGGTAATCTCAGCCCAGCAGTTACCCAAAGTGAGCAAAAGGGAGTCCTCTATTGTTGATCCCATTGTGAAAGTGCAGATCTACGGTGTGCCAGCTGATACGACTGTGGCGGAAACGCAGTACATTGAGAATAACGGTACAATAACTCTCTAAATGTGCTCAGTCAGGACTCTCCTCAGGATCAAGATGTTGCCTAATTGCTCTCTGTTGTCTCTCAAGGCTTCAACCCCATGTGGAATGAGAACTTCCAGTTTGATGTGCGTGTGCCAGATCTAGCCCTTGTGCGCTTTTTGATTGAGGACTACGACTCCAGTTCAAACAACGAATTCATTGGCCAGTACACGCTTCCCTTCAACTGCCTAAAGAACGGTTAGTGTGTTGTAATACATGCTCATCTCTTTGTTTGGGACTTTTTTTTTTTTTTTATTAAACTTAAATTGCTGTTGCTGTCTCAAGTATGCATGATAAATATTACTATAGCCACATAAGCAAACAATCCATAGTATTGTGTTCATATTGTAAGTGGTGTATTTGTGTTATACCACAGGATATCACCATGTGCCACTGCTCACTAAGAAAGGAGACCACCTTTCCTCCGCTGGGCTTTTTGTTCACATCATGGTTGTGGATGCTGAATAACACATGATGGTGCAGGTTTTATACTGTATCGGAGATGATCTTATGTGGCTATATTCAACAGCGCAGACGTCTCAAAGGGTCGGAAAAAATGAGGCAGCTTGAGTGATTCTTATGGGTAAATGAGAAATGGTGGGAATAGAGCAACTTTTCTGAAGGTGCGATATGGTCTCACATAACTTTTTTTTGTACTTTTTCCAATTTGTAAAATACATTTATACATTTTAGTATGCCAAATAGATGACTTAATATTGAGTGTCAACCTTAGTCTTAGTTAAACTGAGCACTGTTTTTAGTTATTCAGAATTTAGCGAGGAATAATTTGGTGGAATTACAAATAAACACAACCACTCCATCCTCTGGGTAGTTTCTCTAGATACATGTTTTAAAGCCTGCATTAGAGTTTGTATCTTTGTCTTTTATGTAGTTACATACAACATCTGATTTATGTCGTCATTAAATGAGGTACTTTGTCATATTTTTGGCTGATACTCATTAAATCAGCGATTCTGATGCAACATTACCAACTGTATACATCTGTGTAAAGACGAAATAAATGTAAGTTATTCAAAACTGTAGTGTTTAAGTTCTTTTTCTTCTGTAATTGCTTCGACCAGATTAAAGTGGCATAAAGAAATTGTAATACGACATATTAAAATTGTAATAAACATCAGGATCAGTCCTGCCATATTTGGCAGTTTAGACACTTCTTGGTTTCACATCTACAAAGCCGTAAGAGTGAGCTCTATTAGTGTGGGCATCCAGTCCACATGAAAGCAGAAGAACCACATTACTTTGGTAATATCACAAAACGTCCTATTTAACAGCAGCGGAGTTGAGAATTTGATGCATATTTGAAAGAGCATCACTTCATATTATGTCCAACTTTTAAAAACATGCTATGATAAAGTACATATTAAATATTTAAGATTCTGCACTATTTGTAGGTGACCAATTAGCGAATTGATCATGTGATTCCTTTGTATGGGTGGTCTGTTGTTCTTTGAATCATCCCAAGTCACGTTGAAGAACATGATCAGGATTTACACAAACTTGTGGAGTTCATGCAGTTCTTGAGCTGCTGCCATTAAATCAAAGGAAAACACCACATTCGAAGACATTCAAAATTCATGTTTTAAATTCAACTCAAATCGCTATACTGATCATTTGTAAATTAATTTTAAATGTAATTAAATATTAAAATCAAATGCGAAATTAAAGCATTTCTATTAAATCTCAGACTTTGACTCCACTGTACTGCAATTGTAAAGCTTTTTTGTTCCCAGCATTTACACTCTTAACATTTTCTAATGAAGAAATTACATTAGAAAGTTTTAACATGACAAACTTTATAACCATAAAACCCAATTACTTGCCTGCTGATTCTGTAAACGAACTAAAACTAAAATCTCTCAACCACTTAGATAAGCTAAAACACCTTGCAAGAGCTGACATTTGCTTAGGAGAAATGGTAAAACCTGAGGATACTTAAGCACACTGCAATATAAAAGAAATAAAATAGAAGTCATCGTGTTGTTTTTTTAAAAAGGTGCTTTAATATAACACGTCAGAGTCTGGAAGAAAACTTACGACAACCATGAATCAATTCAGCTTGAAATATACTCCAAACATCAGCACTGTACTGAACTGATTTCAAACCCCCGAGTCAATCTGTGGACCATTTAAACCAGGGCTGTACAAACTCGGTCCTGGAGGGCTGATGTCCTGCAGAGTTTAGCTCCAACCCTAATTAAACACACCTGAACCAGCTAATCAAGCTCTTACTAGACATTGAAACTTCCAGTCAGGCGTGTTGAGGCAAGTTGGAGCTAAACTCTGCAGGACACCGGCCCACCAGGACTGAGTTTGGACAGCCCTGATTTAAAGTGTCTTGTATGGCTTACTGAAAAAAATATCAAAGAAAAGAAGACTTGAGATATTTAAGCGACATCACAAAAACATTGTGTATTAAAAACAGCACCTGCCAGTTTAGACGTGAAAAACACATGGAGAACAGAAGCAAACAACATCAACTGTGAGCAAAACCAATAGTGTTTCAATGCTGTCAGATCACTCGGAGTCTACCGTGTTCAGAGAAAAAAGGTGAAATTTGCAAATGTGAAAAGTATCGTGTTTCACAATTAGAAAGAAAAGCTAGGAATCAAAAATATTAGCAAGACAAATATCCAGGCAGTCTGAAAGATCCAGCAGATTTGAAAGCGCCGACGATTGAAGAGGCTGTACAGCACTTCAACAAGCAGAACACAGCAGGTGTGGGCTAACATAAGCATACATCTCAAATACTGACAGAAGACCATAAACATGAGAATGAATCGCTCTCCGTCGCGGAACAGGATGAAGAGAGAGAGAGAGGTAGACGATGAAAGACTGAGGGGAAAAACAAAAAAAGGACAACGTGTAGTGACCAAACTGTGACGTGGTGGACTCTGGGCAGAGAGAGAAAGAGAGAGAGGTTATTGCCTGTTCAGCAGCGGATCGGGACATCCCACCACTGCTCCTCTCATCTTAGGCACTGTGGTGATGGAGATTCTGCACAGCTTGCGCCAAACACTTTCAAACCCCCTCAGAATCTCACAGGGAGAAAAAGGCTCCGCTTAGCTCTTCAGGAGAGCAAGAGGACAAGAGCAAAGCCTTTAAGGGCCTACTGCGTCCGTTCTGCCCTTGGACGATGCTCTGGCACAAGCTGCACAGTGCTCTAGTCCCTGGGCTGGTACCCTACTACAGGGAGGTCTTTTGTAGTGTAGTATACAATGGTAGCAGCAGCAGGGTATGGTGTAAAACAAGTTGAAACTAGTTAAAAATATAAAGATGGACCTGTATCAATTCTCAACAACTCACGACTCAAACAGAAAAGAATTAAAAACGATAAAAGGGATACATTTGCAATTGTGCATCCTGGTTTCCATAAAGGACACTTCCCCTTAAAAATACTACCTGGAGGGAACAACTGCAGTGTCTACGCTACTTCACCAAAGGCATTCAGATCAACATAAAGTTTCAAAAAAGACTAGCGGCTAAAATTCTGTTTTTGAAATGTCCAAACACCAATTTTGTCTCCAGCACCAATATTAGCATCAGGCCTGTTTGCTGAAAACAAAACGTACTTCAGCATCAGATTGCGAGACAAATATTAGCGATTGGCACGATACAATCTTCGGTTTAAGACTGTTTCTTCTTGGTTAGTTGGCAAAAGAGGCTGTGGTATAGGAGACGAGTAACCTAACAAGTGCAAATGCATTCCTTTCCTCTTAGAAAACAAACTAAACATATACAAGTCTAGATAATAGTCTCAGTCTATATAATGGCACAAGCTAAAGCAAAATCGAAAATAAAAGGAGCACAAGAAGAACAAAGATGGAGATGTGTACCCAGCTTTACATAATTAAAAATCTCTGGCCTCTTTAACAGTGCTTTTATAAAAAGAGTCTGACCTGCCTCCGTTTTAAAGCATATATTCTTGTTAAGATTAGGTTCTCTGGAAATATGTTGTGTACAAAATGTTAATTTTCCTAGTAAAAATGACATTCAAAAAAGGCACTTTGTTGGGTCGGAGAGGAAACCCCACAGTCCTTTAACCATATGGATTTCTACCTGCATAGCAACACCTCAGAGAATGGTTATGACTTGGATATTTCATTTAAAAAAAGGGAAAGAAAAAGTTGTAATTGATTTTTTTTTTGGTTTATCATAAGCACTTTTCGAAAGAGAAATATTTGAGTGTCCATTAAATGTTCAAAGTCTGTTTATGTCACTGTGCATGTCCTGGTTGGGAGCATCGGTGGTATGGGTGAGGTGAGGACTGCAGGCTGGAGGAGGGAGGAGCTGGGAGCGGAGCGGCTCCTCCGGGGGACTCACACTGGCCCCTCGCCGCCGAGCACTGCGGCTCAGACTGCTACCTGCCCCTCAGGTTCTGCAGCACCCCGTACACGTCCTCCTCTTTGCTCAGTCCCTCAAAGAAAGGCAGCAGGTCCAGGAGCTCCGTGTCATTCATGTCATCAAACCACGACTGCACGGGAACCTTCGCAAGACAAACACACACAGTGTTATGACCTGACATTGTCTAATAACCAGGTAATATAATCTCATTCATGTTCTGAAATGTCACTGGTCTCCAATCTTCTTTCACATAACTGTATATTGAACATTAAATATTGCTGTATTTTGTCACACCGTGCAGCACTTTAACTTTCAGTGTGACGAAAAGAAAAAAATTGTTGCCAGAGTGTAGTTGTACCGGTTTAGGACACAGTGTGAATTGTTGCTGAAACTGAAGTAGGTACTAAATAAAACAAAAAGAACAGGAATGGGAACCAAGAAATGTATCAATTCTGGTTCTGATTCTTAATGATTCTGGTGCCGCGACGATTCTTTTGGCACTTTTGAGGCAGAAACATTGGGGGGTTGGGGAATGAAATATCCAAAATTATACGATTATTCAATTATTTAATTTTTATAATATATAAATATAAAAAATATAAAAATATTGAATCAATGTTTAATTATGTTTGCATAAGTTGCATTTTTTTTATATGTGGCATAAATGCAATCTAAAAATTTACCTCAATTACATATGAAATACTTCAATTTTGCAATTTATTCACTTATTTGTGGCAACTGTTTTTTCTAAAATATCAATGATTCTGATTAGGGATGCACCGATACCGATACTGCTATCGGGCCCGATACTGGTCTCCTGTACTCGTACTCGTTAAAATGTATGCAATGAATACCAAACGCCGATACCACACAGCATGTGATAAGCGCCACATTCAGACAAAGAAACACCGACAACAGAACAACAGACAGCAGAAAGGAGTTAAGGATGTCTACTACGAAGTATATGTATGCAATGAATATAACGTTAATACTGGAAAAATTGGTATCGGTGCATCCCTAATTCTCATAATGTCTGCAGTCTGGTGTACACTAAAGGTACTCTATGTAACTTTTGGCCATTTTGGGGTTACAATAAAACTGTGGAAGAACATTGTTTTGGTTGTGATTTGTCTCTGCAGATTAATGCGGTTTGTGAATGTGGTAAAGACATGGTTTTGTTTTTTATCATTAATAACTTTTTTTTTTTTATCAAAAAAACAATGTAGCTTTAACTACACATTGTCATATGAACAGCCAGTTCAACCATGTTAACCAATTTAACTCACAAGCCTAAAATAAAAAACACTAATCTTAAACTTTGCTTGATTCACTAAAAAGAATCATTTGGGAGACTTCATTGGCTCTGCTGTATGGTTGTGATTCGCTAAAAGAACCTGACTCATAAGAGTCAATCGTGACTCTGAACGTCATGTTTATGTTTTTTTTTTTAAACGCAACTCAGTCCCCAACACTACTATATAAGCACAAGAGTAACCAAACTACGATCTGGTTTAGAGTTTCACAAGCAATCAAAACTCACAGCATTTTCAGGATGGAAAATGTAGGAAGCAGGGGAGTTGTCCACGATGATGACGTTCCTGAGCTCTCTCCCGAGCCGACTAAGGTCTTTGACGTAGTTCCCTCTGTGGAAAACGCAGGATTCCCGGAAGAGTCGCACCCGAAACACACCCCACTGGTCCAGCAGATCAGCCACCGGGTCAGCATACTGAAGCACACAGATACAACAGACAATTACAAAAATGTTCAAGGAGGATCTTCAAGCTGCTTAACAGTCGAGTCACTGTAGAATCATACAGCTGCTTCCTGCAACAAATACAAATACAAAACAGAGAAAAAGCAAGCTGCTAGGGCAACGTAACACTATTTCCATGTCTATGCAAACGAAAATGTCTACAATGAGGACTGCAAGGAAACCTACAAACCATAGTCAGATATGTGCCTGTCAGTAAGAAAGCTTGCTATTAAAGCCAATGAGCCATTATGTTCTCGATATATGACACGGAAGCAACCAAGACACGTGATCTAAACTACAATGGGCCGCATACATTCTCAACAGCTATTGTGTCACTAACAGGTATGAGAAGAACAAAACACATCGGAGACATCGGCTACAGATACAGCGACAAATAAAACTTCACAGCGTATCGTAAAAGCGGCCAAACTCAAACAATGTGAGCTTTCAAAGGTGAAGGCAGCAGCGACTGCAACTACTGGTACATGGCTCGCATTCTGGAAGAGTCACAGTTGCCATAGAGACACTTACCCATGCATTACAGAGAGGCAGAGAGGGGGGGTCAGATATTAGCAGAGCAGGTATGAATCAACACCCACCCAACAGGCCTTAAATCACCCAGCAGGGGTGCATCACAGTATTTTCTCCCTTAATTAACATTTAGACTGTTTCAGCCGGTGAGGTTTTGTGCACGAAGACGCTGAGTCTTTTGACATGTTTGTCGGCATTTAATGAGTCAGTGTCATAGTGTGGTGGACAAACCTTGGCTAGACTGGCTGTGAAAAGCACACATTCAAACAGCTCGCCCATTTTCTGCAGGAACTCGTCAACGTGAGGTCTTTTGAGCACATACACCTACGAGGGGAGATATTGTGATACACAGAGCCATTTGAGTCAGTTTAAATGATAAAGTGCTCATAATGCATATAATAATAATATAAAAAGTTACAAAAAAAAGTATTATATAAAATATAATATATAATACAATAATATGATGCCATTTATGTCCATTTTAATTGATAGTAAATGTTCATAATACATATAATAAAAATGTATAAAAATATACAATACTAAGCAATTTAAGTCAAATTAAATGCTAACACATTTATGCTAAAATATTTACAAAACAAAATAATACAAAAAATAGGCTGAAACACTGAGCCATTTATGTAATTTAAATAAAATAAATTTGCAATTAAATTGGTAAGGACTTATTAAATATATTCCTTATAAATCTTTATAATATAAAACATAATAGTAAAATCTTTAAAAAACCATACACTATAAAATATGAAAATGTACAATACATATGACAATAGTAAAACCTTTTTTTTTTTTAAACAATACATTCTAAGATATATGAAAATGTATATAATTTGTACATAAAGTATTTTCATAATACATATAGTAATACAATTTACAAAAATATATAATATTGTGATACACATCCATTTAATTTAAATAATGAACAATCTTTATCTTAATCTTTATTTATCTTCATAAAATACAACATTACAATAATAGTAGATCTTTATAAAATAATACACTATAAAATATAATATAATAATACAAGTCATGCTGTTCTTCAATCTGAATGTCAAAACATTAAGCAGGCACAAATCAAGCACAGATGATCTGCTTCAGCTCCATGAAGACAAACGGCTGCCACCTAGTGCAAGTAATCATGAATAGGCCTCCCAGGACAGACAGCCTATCCTGGATTACTTGAACAAGGGAACAGCCAATCAGCCATGTTCAGCACTCCATCTAATGAAGCTGACACTGACATAAAACCCATCAATGGCTTCATAACTGCTACAGAATACACTAGAGCATTTATAATTGCTCAAACATACACATCTTCAGCAATGTGATGTCAGTGTAATATGAAACCTGTGCATGTTTCCATCAGTGCTGTACCTGATGCACTGTGCCGTCGATCTCCACTGGGACGATGAAATCAGCGTTGTTAATGGGCTGGGAGAAAGAAACAAATGCAACACAGACGAGTTATGACACAGCTTCAGATGGGAGACAAATGTAAAGGAAGCGACCCAACTAAACCCACCCAAACTTTCACATGCTTTCTGAAATATCCTTCCAATAAAGTATGTTTTAAATTGAAGGCTAAACACATCTTCTTGCATACTCATGTTTTAGTGACAGTAACTATTAAACATTATTCCAAACAACTTATACATGACAGTTGCTAACATGCATTTTCTGTGAATCATAGCTTCTCTCATGCTTTGTCTTTCTTATAATTAAAATAAATCCTCCAGTGAGCTTTTTAGTCACTTCTACTATCTTAAAATATTACACAATAAACTAACAACAGCTGATAAACATGTTGACTGCAATCAGAGATTATTGATGCGTGATAAGCTCTATTTAGTTATATTTTGCATTAGCAAAATGAAAGTGCAGTGATAAACAGCAAAGGGCATCCGTGCTCTTTCAACACAAACCTGCCTAATCAAATATTAATAATCAAGTATGAGGGAAGTTTGAGAACTGCACACTTCAAACATTTGTCCTTAGCATGACTGAAATCAATGGACTTCAAGGCAAATGTAGCCAACAAAGCCTGACATGTGAAATAGTCAGAAAAATCTTTTCTTTTTCTTTTTTTTTTTATTGAACAGTTTGAGCTTCAAGACGACAAAAAAAAAAAAAAAAAACATTTTTTTTCCAGTATCATATTTGGTCTATCAGGCTTTTATGGCTCATACTATGACTCATGGACTTTTTGTTTATTCGGAGGCCCAAAATATATTACAGTTACTCACATTTTAACAAAACAAAACAAAAATATATTTTAATAAATATAAAAATATGTTTCAGTTCACTTAAGTGTTCATCTTTAAATATTACCAACAATAAAAAAGTTATATTGTTTACTTTATAAAAATCATAAAAGATTTAACAGCAAAAAGACACGCTTAACATGACCTGAAGTGGGATGTTTTTAGAATGATACTTAAATGCCTTTTACATGCTATAAAAAATAAAAAAAAATAACTATTTCAATCAGATGGCCAAAGGTTTTTTCAAACAGTTTTTTCAGTAAAGTTCTGATCATGTTGATAATTTAGAGGCCTTAATATTTTGTGTATTAAATATGATACAGTAGGCTAAAGGGTTGAAACTAATTTATAAACAAACTACCCCATACCAGTGTTATTTTAGTATCACTCAGATACTATTATAGTTTTATTGATATTTTGATTCAGTTTTTACTTTTATAGTTTGTTTTCATTTTAATTTTAGTTAATGCTTCAGTAATTTTGTTGTGTGTTTGTCATTTTTAATAGGTTTTGTTTTTTTATGTCTATATAGTTTTTCATAAATGTTATTTCTGTTTAAATTTTAGGTATGAATTCATTAAAATGAGAAATTCTCCCTTGGCAACAAGCTGAAATGAAAGTTTGTTTATTTAATTTTATTTCAATTAACAAACTATTTTAATGGTTTTAATTTTAGTTTTATTTAACTACATAACCCTGCCCCACACTAAATGTCTGAGTTTCATTCACAGATCAAAATGCTGAAAAGCTCAATACTGAGTTTCACAATTAGTGTTGCTCTTCAACTCTCCTCCTACTAGCAGCAGAGACAAATGAGCCCTGACCGGGCCGTCACTAAGCATCACAGGAAGCTCTGCCCGCATGCACATACATCCCTCACACAAAATAGGTCACAGTGGGTCAGTGTCACCGAGCAAATTACAGATAGAAGTCACAGTTACACTGCATCTGTAGTCCATCCCTGGTTGTTTTTGTTTGGGAAATAGCTGAAAAAGATCTGAACTAGTTTCAACAGGCAATCATTTATAAATTACCTTAAATGAGCTGTGCACCAGAGTCTCATCCAAGTCTATTACCACACACTTCTTCCCATAATCATTTATGTTAACCTCAGGGAGGAGGTACTTCTCTGGAGGCTGTGAAAATGCAAAACAGAGAGAGTAAACATGATGAACATGGAGTAACTTCAGCTAAATGAGTGAGAAATGAGGAATGGGGGGGTTAAGCCGTGATGTGTTAGAACGTTATCAAGCAAAATGAGCTGAAAGATGGGGAAAAGCAGCACGATTCCCAACCATCTACACATTTCCTCTGGAAATTGTAAGGGAAGGCTTCGGGCATTTTAGGAAGTGTGTTTCCTGAGCTGCACAGATGACGCTCACGCAGCAACATCCCAGCTCTTCCGAGCGGAAGTGGAAAGGATTACAGCCGTGTGTGGGGATTAAAAGGTTTTTCACACATTAATCAGAGATGCAGGATGGGTAAGGTTAAGAGAGTGGAGTGACTTCAGCACTGGCTGCCTGTATGAAATCCATTTATAAGCTGCGGGTGAATGGGTCCAGTTCTCTAATCCTCACTGCACCGTCTCAATACAAGCGGAGGCAATCTTGTTATAGAGGGAGGCAGTATGGTGTCGAGTCCATCTAATCTAAATCCCTGTCTCTTTAATTGGATGAATCAAGCTTAAGAGGAACCGCTGGAGTGCAGTCATGATTCTGGTCCGAACTGTTCAATGAACACAGAAAGACACTAGAACACTTACAGTTCGGCTCGACGTGAATTCCTAGTCAGCACACAAACAACAGATCAGCAAATCAGAAACATCATTGTGTGGATAGAGTGATTGCTACTAAAATCTCATGGCGAAATCATTAAGGGACTGATCATGAGATCTGACCTTCCCAAGTGGACTTAAACAGCCTACCACTGAGATTAACAGCGGAACAGACACACTAAATCATTATCAATTAAAGAGCGCAGATAATCGGCAAACCGATTTATGAGCCTTTTGAATGGAGAAGTGTGTCATTTTGTACTTTCATCAATATCATAACATAATAAAAGAAAACGCTATAAGGAAGCCATTTGTAGGTTGATTTCCAAAAAGGTAAAAACCAAGACTTAATAAGGCTGGCCTAGCTGACAGATTTTTGAATGAAACTAATCTTTGTACACTACCGTTCAAAAGTTTAGGTTCGGTAAGATTTTATAAATATTTTTGAAAGAAGTCTCTTATCCTCACCAAGGCTGCTTATTAAGGTAACGGTATGAAAATTTCTTATCACGATTATAGTGACCAAAATTATCATGGTTATCAGTATTATCACGGTATTGTTCAAATGTGCTGGAGATGTACTGACACATAAATCACTTCACCAAGTTTTATATTTAAAAATCAACAAACAACAAATAAAATGACTTTTTGTTTGCATAATCACTAAAACAATAACATTACCAATGATGTTCAGATTTTAAATGACAACTTGACTGACAACTGTTTAATAGCATGTTCAAATATCTAATGTAAATGTTCAAATAAAGCTTTGATAAAGTTTCATAAAAAGGTAAACCTCACATTTCAGCCTTTAAATAAAGAAAAGTGTTAAGTCAAAATGATAATTGATTAATAAATGATTATATGTATTTTATCTGCTCCATAAATAATTCTAGATAACTTATCTGAATTGTTTAAATGTGTATTATCCACATCAGCCACAAGGGCATGCAAATTCGGTCCATTTTGGGCCAGACAGAAACTGCACACAGGCTGAGAAGGGTCTGGCTGCAGCTTGACGCTTGCACTCTCAGACGTGCATCCTCAGGCTTGCACTCTCAGACACTTGCACTTCCGCTAAGCGCGGTCGGTTCATAAGCAGTGTTGCCAAGTCCGCGGTTTTCCAGAGGAATTGAGCTACTTAACACTGTTGCCGTGGGTTGTTGTTCATGTCCACGGGTTGAAGCGACCCCAATAACGTGATACTTAGTCCCTGGAATGTGAATTTTACTGGAAGATCCCCGCCGAAAAACGTGTATTTTACCCCCAGAATGCGATTTTTAAAGAAAAATCAGTATCAGTATCCAATTTGCTAGTAAAAAAAAAAAAAAAAAGAAAATCTGAATTCTGAATCAGCTATGATCAGGGGTTCACTAATTACAATACTAAGTAAAAGGCCTCAAATTTGAAGTACAATCTGGGATGTCTTTTTCTATCAATTCTTCAATAGGTAGATCTTGTCTTTCATAAAGGCCGAGGTCAGGGATCTTGGGCCTAAAAAGTTTGGTGACCACTGCTCTAAAGAAACAGGATTCCCTAAATTATCGTCATTGACATCGTTATCGCAATAAATATCAGAAATTATCGTGATATATTTTAAAGCCCATATCGCCCATCCCTAGTGTGCACGTGAGACTGTTACTTAAAACTGTGCTTTATGCTGGACAGTATTTATTTATCGTGAGTTGTTCAAATCGCGGTAATCTAATACGGTTTTAATGATAATTAAAATATGAAATGGTAATACTAACCGTCGGGAATTTTATCGCCAAACCAGTAATCGTTACATCCCTACTGCTTATTTTATCAAAAATACAGTTAAAACAGTAATATTATGGAAAACTGTTTTCTATTTGAATATACTTTTAAAATGTAATTTATTCTGCTGAATTTGTCAGGATTCTTTAATGAATAGAAAGTTCAAAAGAACAGCATTTATTTAGAATTGAAATATTTTGTATAATTTCATACTGTCACTTTTGACCAATTTAATGCATCTTTACAGGATAAAAGTATGTCTTTTTTTCCCTTTTTTTTTTAAATCTTACTACCCCCAAAATTTTTAACTTTTGTTGAAAATTATGAGGCAGCTTTGTTGAGTTCTCCAAAAAATACTTAAAGTCTTCAAAACATCAGTAACATTATGTTAAACAATGAACCAAACAGTAATGTTTCGCATCGTATGGCAAAGTTTTCCAACAAAAATTTGTTTTTTTAATTTATTTTGCTACATTATAGCTGTAAAATTTTCAGCTTGTTTCAACGTTTCATTCTGAATTTTTTTTACGAAAAAAAAAAAAAACAACTGTGAAGAGGAAACTGAAATTAATGAAAATATCATTATTTCAAACGAATATAAAAATGCATTGCTAAAAATGGGCCAGTGAAAATATTGACAGGGCCAGTTTAAATATAAAATGTACTGTTTGGCCCTGTAAACACTTTGGTGCTAATGCTGAAAATTTTCCTCAGCGCCTTTAAATGGATTAGAATACAGTGGAAAAACACTTGCATTATCAAATCAGAAATAGTCATACTCCCAATAGTTAAAAAGGAGGAGGGTGGGCATAGCCAACACATGTTGCTAAATGCCTTATCCCAAAACTGTGTGGAAAAACAGTGCATGCAAGCATCCATCAGGCAAAGTGCATTACTGTCCACAGAGCCGCTTCAAAAGCCGATTCGAGTGTACTGTGGTGCTGCGCTCCATGCGGCATGCGAGAGCAGACACAGATAGACGGCACGGAGTGGAGTGGAGTGGAATCATACATACACTGGGGATAGGGATGACCTCAACCTGGCCACACTGAGACATGATGAGAGATGAAGACAGAGGAAACAAACAGGAGAGGAAATGAGGTGCTGAACCACAAGACAAATGGGTAACAACTCAGACAAATGTGATACAGTCTACACAGAAAAAGAGAGAGAGAGTTGTGATGACTTCTGTTTAACATCAGCAAAACACACATGATGCTGAGACGCAGAAGAGAAGACAGAAGGCCTTGAATAGAGTCTCTGAATCAATACGCATCTGATTGACTGTAATCACTCCCCGTATGAAGAGGATGTTTGGGCGTCTCACCTTTGGTGGAGCTCCGTTCTCCTCCACAGGCGGGGGCAGAGGGCTGCTGTTGTTATTGGGGGTGGTGGGGGGCTCGGCATCGTAACTTCTCAGGCAGCAGAACAATGAGCTGAAGATGCTGCGAGTCCTCTTCTTCTTCAGACTGCTGTTAGACAGCGAAACTGACAAAAAAGCAGACAGAGAGAACACATTGAACACAGTTTAAACACATGACTGCAATAATAATTCACTAGGGATGCATTTTATTAGTGGCAACACTGGTGCGTTAGCAGCTTGTTTTTTATTTCAGGTCGTCATTTATAATAAATTCATGTCATTTACATCAGTTAACTTTTTGCTGTACATTAATGATTTGAATAATGATTAAACTTCAAATATTTACAATAATACCACACTAGTTACTGGACAATCATAGAGATTTTTTATTTTATTTTGAAAAACACTGCTAAATGAACTCTTTAAACATTTGTTATATTGTGAAATATTATTGCAATTTAAAATTATATTTTCATTTTGAACATATTTTTAAATGTATTTTATGAATTTTCAGCAGTCTTCAGCACCACCAGTGATCCTTCAGAAATTCTAATATGCTCAAGAAAAAATCCTTATTATCAATGTTGAAAATGTTGTGCTGCTTAATGTGATTTTTTTTTCCAGGATTCTTTGATGAATAGAAAGCTAAAAAAAACAGCATTTATTTGAAAAAAAAAGTGTCTTTACTGTCACTTTTGATCAATTTAATTGCATTCATGCTCAATAAAACTGTTAATTCTTTAAAAAAAACTAATATAAAAATCCTACTAACTCCAAACTTTTGAACAGATATATTGATATAGACCATGATATCGGTTATCAATTATCAGTTTTAATGTTTGATTTGGGTTACATTCACTTCAGTCAGCAAAGCTTATATATGACACAAAGTTCAATAACACTTAATAGGACGCTTGGTGGTGGGAACGTCCGAACACCCTTTCTCCCAGTGCAGGATGTCACATGGGATCTTCAATTAAACATTCAGATTATTACTACTGATCATGGACTGGCTTTACACCAATACACGGCACATAATGAGGCGACATCAAAGACCCTCGTGGTTCTCCTCTCCTCATTCACACACACACACACACACACACTAATAATAATCTGCCTTCATTCCAGCGCCACAGCGGAGGCTCTAAATGTTAACACTGAGGTCACCAGCAAGTAAAGGCCCTTTAAAAATAGTGACAAGCAGGAAAAAAAATGAAACTAGACACCACTCGCTTACAAACCCCACCCCATCCCCTTTAGGCTCCTAAACCCTCGTCCCTCCACTATTGGCTGCCAACTCCAGAACCATATTAAGGGACAGAGGCTATTTTCGCTCGTTCCTGAAGCTTCAGTGACGACTTCAGAAGCATAGCTGAGCGAGAGAGGGGGAAAATTTAAGGGAGAGAGGGAAGAGGAGAGGAGGGGCAGCAGCAGGAGAGGCAGAGCTAAGAAAATGAACAGCCTATGAGAACCGTGCATTCCTCTCCCGCCCCTTTAGCCATCTCAAAGCTTCAGCCGAACATCTCATGCTTTTCTTATCTAAAACTCTACAATACTTTACACCCACATTAAGTATGAAATCTAATGCCTTATCAAATGCATCATAAATTAAAAGACAACTGGAAAGATTCTGCTTCTAAATATGCATTATGAGGTGTTATTTTGTTTTCAAAAGAGTGGGTCATTTTTCATAAGTGGCAGAACAGCAGCATGGCTTCACTCAGGAATACTGTAGGAGCTGACCTGTTCAGCATCATGCTTTGAGGTGTAAAAACGTATCTTGATATCAAGGTCTACTGATTTGCCTGTTGCAACAAGGGCGTCTTTGCAATTCCACAACAGAGACCTACACACAAAAAGCATAAACACACATCTGTCTGTAATCTAGTTTTTATTTAAATGCCTTTACCACAAATAAAGAGCAAAAATATAGACTACAAAAGCACTCAATGAGCAACTAGCTGTTATATAAATTATTTCCATATGCACTCCAAATAAGTAAAGGAATAAAATGCAGTGAAGTACAGGGAGTTTTACATAATTGTGGACAGAATGCAAAAAAGATCCCTGTCAGGCAACGGGCCAGAGACATTGATCACTGCGGCGGACTCCCTCAGATGCCATCAGAGCTGAAGGTATGAGAAGATGCAGCTGCCTTAAAAAAACCCTGTAATTACTACTGGCTTTAATTACTTCTGGCTTAATATTAATCTACATGTTGGAAAGACTCATTAATGGCTTTGAAGGGAGGTAATGTTTTGGGAGGGAGGCCTGGTCTGGATGAGATCAAGGCAGTATATGTGAGTCACAAAAGGCATTTAAAGTGTTGCCTAATAGGCTATCAAGAGCACAAGGACCATTTTAGATGGTTCAGCTTTATTCTGTGCTGTTTTGAGAGGGCAGCTGTTAAAGAGCTTCTCCACTCAGCCTCCCAGAGGTCAAAGGTAAAGCCCTGGAAGTGCTCCATCCAAATGCCTGCTGTCAGAGCCGGACATCCTCTGATGGGCAGCCCTGCAAAACTGCCTTCACAGCTGCATATCGCTGCAGCAGAGACATATGAACTAATTTTTCTTTTCTTTTTTTTCAATCTTCATATAAAATGTTTATATTTTATTTAAGGCGAGATACTATAGGCACACCTCTATTTTTTTTTTTTTTTCATGCACTAGCCATTTTTTTGGGGCTATTTTGCTTTCATAGTTTTTTTTTTGTTTTTTGAAAGGACTAATGGAAAGGAAACAGTGTTTACAGTGTTTATTTAAAAAGGGGGGGGGGGGGATCAGTAGATTTCAATTGCATATCTTTAAAGGTAATTTTCTCAAAATTTGTTTCTCATGCACTGAGCCAGACATCTTTAGTTTCACTTTAGTTACATCAAATTTTCCAGTTTTATTCCTATCATCAATATTCTTACGATTTTTACAGAGGTTTGTTCCTGTATCATTTGCCTAATTTATATAACACTTAATGCCTAGAAACATGGTGAAAGTGTATTTTTTTTCATTCTGTTGTTGACAGTATTTTCAGATTTATGGAGTGATAAAAAAAGATATGCAAACTCCATTCTGTAAAATTCTTTAACTCTGACATGTCAACAAAATGAAACAAGAATTTTGAACCTGGCTTTATCCAGTGTTCAGATTTATTTTCTGGATTTTTACGCAAATTAGTGCCAACATAATTACATTGCCTCATTTGCACACTTAAACATTTAAATGACATTTCAGAAAATGTGTGCCCTATTCTCCTGTGGTGTCTTGCTGTAAAATATATGAAAATGTTCGTTTACCCCGACAACCTAAAGCATCACACAACTGACTTGCCTGTTGAGTAAGAGAAATGTAGGCAACTGAATAGCATTTCTACTTAATTATTCCTGTTGCTGACTTGGCTGAAAGAAGAACAAATGAACCGCTTCTTAACACTCTAAATAAAACATGTGCCCTTTAAAACGCTCTACTTGTGCAATTCTTCCGGAGCACTTCTGCCAGTCGTGACAGAAAGAAACATGTTTGTGTTGCTCTCCCTCCACATCACGGGCGACCGACGCTGACAGAGCCCAAACTTTCAGTCTCCAGCAGTTTAACGTTACATTGCGCCTTTACGGCGAGGCGACTCCGTTACATAAACACATTGTTCTGCATCAACAATAACACACTGTCATATAAAAAGCACATTAAAAGTTACCAAAAAATGCCCTATTTTCGCTTCTGGTAGTACAACGGTAATGCAATGCCTAAAATGTTTCTTGACTTGGGCTCGCAGCCCGCTCGTTTAAAATGGTGGGTAACTGTTAACGTTAAAGCTAACAAAACGCGCTACGGCGAGCAACTTCAACACACGAAAACACCTCTCACCTTTCTCAGTATTTGACGAGAGTATCTCCTCCTCCTTGGAGTTCGTAACCTGCGTTATTATGGACGTGTTGTCCATGGAAACGAGATGTTAGCTCCTTTTTCCAGCGAGTTCTGGCCGTGTCCGTGTTTCAGGTTGTGCTAACAGCTAGTCGAGTTAATGGCAGATCTCCAGCCAGCAGCAGACTGCTGTCGCTCAGGCTAGCGTGGGCGAACGGACTGCACCCGACCACTAATTTTTGCGTTTTGTTGCATTAAAATACGCGTCGCGGACACACATTTGATCAATCAGCCCGTACAGATGCGCATAACAAAAATAAATTGCGACAGCGCCGAATGGCTAACAAGTAGTTGGAGGCTGGATTGCTAATATAAGATAGCGTTAGCCAGCTGACCACGAAACCTCCAAAATTAGGCTGAATAAATGACCCGCGCGATGTCTGAACGCTTGCGGTTAAACTCCTGGAGCTATAGTGGAGAACGCCGACATCTGTGCGTTTAAGCGATCGTCAAAAACTGCTTCTCCATGTTTTCTGATGTCTGCTTCCAATATGGAGACGGCGAGTGTTTGATATTCACGAGATAGAGCTGAGGAACAGCAGGAGGAGGTATTTTCTGGGAACCCCCTCCCTCATATTAAAAATAAAAGCACGGCCAGCTAGGCGCACGCAGTCGCCAGTCCGAACAAAGCTGACTGATTTCTTCATCAGCGCCTTAGGAACTCGACTGTGGAGCTGCGATATTTAATCATAAGTCAAAATAAAATACACGAACCTTTGGTCTGGTTTAGTTTTCAGCTCTGCTTCGTAATCATAAGAATGAAAGGGAAATATGCAATAAGAGAGGAATAAGAGTGAGATTTTGAGATTCATGGATGTAGCTCTATATTTTGTTTTGATTTCTTCCTACTGTTGTTAAATCTATATTGAGCAGCTTTAATATGCGAATAAAAAGTGAAATTCTGTTATTTACAGTAATGTGTATACAATGTAAACAGGCATCGGCATCACACAGTAAAATTCAATAAATGTGCAAATTTGCCTGTGCTTGTATTATAAAGAGTGGGCTACATTTCGGCCTGTGAGGTTTAAAGGTGCTGTATGTAATTTTTTGACTGTGCCAAAGCATAAAAACACCATAATACATTGCAGATATTAAGGAAACATGCTAAGTTCACATGTTTCTCCAAAAAACAACGCCAGTTATTCTACATTGAAAATGTGTATTCCTAGTCGGAATGGCTGTTTTTGTTTTGATCTGTGTGATTCCGCCCACTGTCAGTTTACCCAATAGTATTTGAAGAGTTCAGATGCAAAAGCCTCTAAGTGCCGTCTAAAATTTTCTTCTAAATTGGTTATTTTCTCAGGCTTCTATGTTTATGTTCAGTTATTTTACTTTAATGGGACAGAAAAGAAACTATTCATTGCCATTAAAGTGAAATTACTGAACCTACACATAGGAGCCTGATAAAAATGCTAATTTTAGAAGAAAATTTCAAACGGCACTTGGAGGCTTTTGCATCTGAATTCTACAATTTTCGACACCCCGGGTTGCCAGAGAGCGGAAAACAGCGTATGGCAGCCATGCAAGCAAGCAAACGAACTGGGGTCAGAGATCGCAGATTCTACCCGACCTAAAAAAAATAAAATAAAAAATAAAACTCGGCATCCATCTAAAAAGCTCTAAATGATGATACATGAGACAACTTTTTGAGCAATGTTGATGGGTGAGACACAGGGCCCACGACCGATCTAAAGTATCCAGATTGAAAATTGTTGCCCATTCTTAATGGGAAAGTGCCCAAGCAATATTGCTCAAAAAGTTTCCCCATGTATCACCACCTTAAGGCTGTTGCTCATTCCCGTTGCGTGTCCTAACTGACAACCCTCTGGAGAGTCCTGTATGAGGACTTGACAGAAACAGTATTTTGAATTTGGACCCATTTCAACCGCTAGCTGTCAATATTACATACTGCACCTTTAAATAGTTGAGGGCTTTCCCTGTAAGCAATTCATTTCTATCGCATGTCTCCATCTGCTGTTCAAAGATATTGTTGCAGTTTTGTAAAATCTTTTTCTGCCACTTAAAACTGAAGAAAAAAATAAATAAAATAACATAGACAACAAACAGTCTGGTCTGTATTTAATGTTGTGCCGGTCGGTCAGTTCAACAGAAGAGCAAAATATAAAGGCTATTGAGTAAGAGCACACATATGAAACATAAATTGTCACATATTTACAAATAGCCTAGTGCTTTTTATGTTTTGATTTTTTATTTTATTTACGCTAAGTGTAAACTGATTAACTTGTGGGCTAAGGTAAGCCATGTAGCATTGATTTATTGTTTTGCAATTATATGAGAGCAAATTGCATGTAGAAACATTTTAAAGTATGTGAATGTGTGATTGTTACCTGTTTTGAATTTTTCCAAACATTTGACAGCAATTCGGGCTTAACGTTAGGCTATATGTGCAAAATTTTGACAGAACCAAGAATGATAGATTCATATAGGCTATGCAATTGACTTGCTGATTTATGTCAGGGAACATGATAACTGACTTAATGCATTGTGAGAAGTACCCTATCCATAATCTTATAACAAAAGTTGACAGATTAAACCTTTAACAGATTCTTGCTTTAGTTTCCTTTTTGTAGACCACAGCTGGAAAATGTACATAAAAAAAAAGAAAAAGAAAAAAAAGTTTGGACTCATTCAAAATTGTAATGCTTTTGAAAGAAATCTGTTATGCTTACCGCAGGGCTGTATTTATTTGATCAAAGATACAGTAAAAAATTATTTCAAAAACATTTAAAAACCTTAAGCATTCCGAACTTTGGCCGCTATAATGCCAATTAATGGCTGAAGTTCATCTTCACTGGATTAACACGAGGGACTGCTTCTGGACAGTACAGTACATCTCCCACAGACCAGAAGATAACAAAGCATTTCTCCAACCGGCCATCATGCACCTGTCCTGTACCATTTAGCGCTGGTTCTTGAATTTGTGCGCTTTTTTGATAGACAGTTCTGGTGCCAGTGCCAGCCCTCTGCAGTTCCAGTCCGGATTATAAATACACTCTCTACACCCCTCCCCGCAACATCCACACCAGCTACTGCTGCCTCTCACAGTGCACCATCGGCACTGGGAAACCGGGACGGATGTATTAGGAGAAGCCCCTACTCACCCCCCTTTATCTTTTCTTTTTTAAATTTTGTGGGGGTTGACATCTGTCTTCAGACATCTGAGCGGCTGTGAAAGGCACATACGAGGTTAGTACTGAGCAAGTGCACTTCTTTTTGAATTACTGTACTTACTGTACACGGTGCTGTAAACAGATAGAGTCCCACGGATCATATCTGAGGCGACGTGTGGGCGTTTAGAGCTGTGCAGCATCATTTACATGTAAAAGGACTTCAGTTTTGCGCGTAGGCTATATTAATTAGTCGACACAAATACTCTGATTTTGAGCAGGTACACGCATGGTTTCCTAATTAATTAAATGTTAAAATGAAATTAATTTGGGAGTTCAGTCCTTGGTTTTTCATACTCCCGAAGGATCTCCTGGTGTGTGGGAGATCGCATTGCGCTGCAGCTGGCGCTCTGTACCATGAGCAACTGCTCAGGCTAAAATAGGAAGAGGTTGTACGGTGCAGCTGACTGTGCTGTTTCTGAGGAGCCGTGAAAAGAGGCACTCCCATTCAAGACACTTAAGCCTTGTCTTCTGATAATTAGACTGGGTGTCAACTCTGTGGGAAAATTTTTGCTGTTTAATTCCTTTTAGTTTTGTTGTATCTGTATCCTATTGTAACTGGATTGTGAGGCTGCAGTGTCTTGGTGTTGGCGTATAATTTGTAAAATAATTGGTTTCTTATGCATTAATTATTGATGATCATTGTATGTGAACTTCACAACAATTAGGCCTATTGTAATTAGTAAGGAGTGTCTTCTCTGATCGAAAAAAAACTGCGTTTACTTTTACTGTTGGCCCTTGGCAGAGAGGCTACATTATTTAATACAGTATAGTTTACAGCTCACACAGTAACAAACATTATGTTGTTATTTCACGGCAACGAATGGTCTCCGCAAATAAATTGTTTTAACATTTAAAAGGCTCATAAGTTAATATGCTTTTGCTGTACCATTTACACAAAAGTTTTAAAGCATTACAGATCACCACTCCTTTATAAATTGGATTTTGCAAACTAGTTCTGCCAGAAAAGCTTGATTCCGGGTGTCAAAACCCGAAATGACATGTCACGTTTCTTGACAACGTCAGTGCCGTTTCAGTTGTAGTGACCGTGAATAATAATCATCACAATGATGATATTAATAATTTTAAAAAATCATGAAATGAAATAAAAAAAAACTATACAATTTTGATTCCTAGCACTTTATTATATTTATCTTCTAAATAGTAGCTTTTTTTTAACACAACTGCAAATTTGTAATTTGTAATTAATATTAATATTCACGTCACAAAAGTCTCCTGTGATTGGACAGATATTTTCCCGCTGATATCATTAGGTGAACATTTCGCCGCATTCTCCGTCAGCTGTTTTCATTTTTAGTTTTAGAGCTCAATTTTATTACTACACCAAAAATATATCTTATTAAAATTCGAAAAGTAACTTTTGAGCTGGTTGTAAAGTACCTGGAAGAAGAGAATCAGTGTATATCTGAGGAGTGAGAGTGAGTGACGTTTGACCTGTAACGGCCGTTAGTGAGTATGAGCGCGGAGCTAATAAAATACTATACGAAATACGATTTGACATCCTAATAAATGACTGTTTTATGAACATTTTCCATAACAAACATCAAAAACATCCGTAACAAACTTGTGGAGGTAATTTGTATCAGTTTCCATTGTTTTTATCTAATTTATTTTCGGCAGTGGTCAATGGTTAATTTTAGTAAGAGTGTAACAGGATTGTAATGTTAAGATTTCTCTTCAGGTTAACCATGGGGATCAAGACAGCCCTTCCCAAGTCTGAGCTGTACATCTACACTGCTGTCCTCTCTCTTGCACTCTTATGGGCTGGCAGCTGGATCATTGAGGCCTCCAGTGGTACACTTTATTTTTTATCTCTCGCTTTTTCTTACTACATTAAGATCACAGAATTATGTGAATCACATCCATCATGAATGCCGTAGAATACAGTGAGTAAAGGTACATTTGCTTTTGTTCATTGTAAATCAGAGCACTGTAGTATTATTTTTTTCTGTGTGGGCAGACTGCTTTGCTTATTGACATCCGAGCTGGTACTGGAGCAAACCAGCCATGTCCTGCCTCAACCTTTTTACAGATCACATATTGATCATGTCTACTTTTCGGTATATACAGTACACAGAAACATCAGTTTATACTGGGCTCTAAATGTACCAGTCCTTCATTGATAACCCTCAGCAACCCCTGACTCTCAAATAAGATCTGTTATGCAATTTGTATTATCTTTGAAATTCATGATACACAGATTTGTCAGATTTCACAGGACCATTTCATAATCTCAAAATATATTTGAGAGTCTGGATTATCACAGAGAAGCCTCTGAATATGCAGGCTGGCAGAATTTACCTTATGTAATGCTATTAGATTTTGCACTGGAGCTCACCCTGTTTGCTGGTGAATCATGTGAATCTGATGT